TGTGTCTGCCGGTAACTCATAAAACGCGCTTTCTACAGCATCAATCAGCTCCTCGATTGAACGAGTCGCCTTTTGATACTGAAGACTTTGAATAGAATTAAAAAATCCTAAGTCTAGTACGTTGAAATCTGGGCTATTTGGCGGTTGATTGACTACTACAATCCCACGAACGCCTTGCGCATGAAGCAGCTCTGTCGTAACGCACTTGTGTGGACTCGCGTTGTCTTGTTGAATCGACACGTTTCCACGGTCGCGACCACCAGGGAATTTCGCCAAAATTGCAGGAAAAACTTTGTTAACGACAGCATCAAAGTACACTTTTGAATCGACAGTCACTGGCACTGTCACAGGGGTACCTTTGGGTCGATTCCTGCTACTTCGCAGAGCAGGTGCAACCTGTACGAATGGCCAAACACCCACCTTGCCATCCCACATCTTCTTTGCATGATGATCATATCGGGGGCGGGCCACAGCGGCTAGAAACATGACCTTTGTGATAAAATTTTTCGACTTGACAGAGCGGGCTGCAACCTCCTCGTCATCGTACACGTAGTACTTTCGTTTAACCTTTGTCAAATAGAACCACTTTTCATCGACATGAACGAAATCGTTCATATCGGCAAAAAGGTAGCGTCCATTCAACAAAGGTCGAACAAAAGACAACGCATACTTCAGACGCGCCTTGACATTGTCTTCAGTGAGAAATGGCTTCACGTAGCTAGATCTCGCACGCAATCTTGGTGTCGCCTTCTTGTGGCGCAAAATGGTCGTAGCCGGTAGCCCACACGCTGGTGAGAGAGATCGGACAGTCTGCCGGGAGAAGTGGGGAACTTGGCGTATCGCTTGTTCGATTTCCGCCGTAGAACGTTTAGCCTTTCGTCCAGAATTGCCTAAACACGTACGCCTTTAAAACTTTATAATTGTCATAAGTGATATTTATATTAATTGGTGGAGAATTACCACGAACTTTGGTCGCAACATCAGCATCAGTACGGCCACTGCGGAGAGACTGCCGCGCGCGGGTCCAGAGACGCGAAATAGTTCGCCGATGGCAACGAAACCGTTCTGCCGCCTTTGTTATCGCTCCTCGAGGGAGGACATCGCCCTGAGCAACGCTTAACAGCGTTTCGTACACTCCGTGACAGTCCTCCAGTCGAAGGTGGTTGGGGCCGTCTGGGTGCCGCGGTTCGGTATTGGGAGGTGTGGCAGGATGGTTGGGTTGATCGAGAGGCATACAGTGTTCGTAAATGTATGTACGGAGTGGGTTGAAGGTGTGAGAATGCACTATGGCCTACTAGCGGGTGATCGACGGTTGGTCAAGCATGACTAGTCAACTTTGTGGACCCATATCTCAATAGCAAATGTGTCGTAGAAGTCGCAAAAACTACCCAATCAAAGTTGAAATCCTGCGCTTTCCGATGCACCAATCAGACAAGAAAACAGCACCAAATTAGAAAAATTCCGCCAATCCAAAAAGAGGAAGGTGACAACCTTTTAGGATCAGAGTAGTACATTATTCGAAATAACTGGACTCCTTACGTCTTTTGAGCATCTCCAAGAATACTTATTTCCCATTGGCTGCCGACTAAATATATTGACACATCGGAGTCAAAGGACAAACTGCAGGCACAAAGGCCGCTCAAAAGTACAAACATAGCAAAGTACTACATAGTAGAATCTATGCATCAGTGGTAATTAAGGTTACCGTAACGATCGGTCGCCTCCAAACCAATCGTTCTTGACGAGTGGAGTTTTACCATTCACAGTCAGTTCAAAGTCATTGAAATACTTGGACAGCGTTTGACAGGCTAAATCCTTCAAAATTTACTTGAAATTGCCACCTAACATATCTGAAGGTGATACCCTACACGATGCATCGCCAATGTGTCCTAAGATTTCGAGTAATTGCAAAAGTGCAGACCGGGGTTTCGGGGTAGGAAGTAACTAGTGGTAAATTACTCAATTACTCGATAAATGACAAGATGCTGCTACATTTTGGAAATCTGGCGGTCTTTTGGAAATGATTGGATATGTAATTTGTTCAGCGGCTATTGTGATGGCCATCCGTCACTGACAAGAATATGACTGATTTCGTTTGATTCCTAGTTTATCCTCACTCGTCGTTAATCTCACGATACATCATGCAAACTGGTATTACAGCCTACTCACTTGTTGCGATTCACGTTGGCTCCCAACCCAACTCGAGAAAATGAATGCGTCGCTCCAAAATCAAGCAACACCTTCACGTCTTTGCCATTCTTCATTACACCCGACTTAATCATCATCGCCGGTGACTTTTTTCCAGCTTCGGGTTTCACTAGACACGCATTGAACTAGCGCTGCTTGCATTTCCTGCTGCGCCTTCAGTTGATTCTCGTGTTGCGCTTGTTGATTTGCTAACACTTGCGCTTGTGCTTGGGTTTGGGCCTCCAGCGGTTGTTGGATCATCTGCTGCTGGTGCTCCGTAGTCGCAACTAGCCTCGCAAACACTTCCTCCATGATTTTTGATTGGAAAAAGGTTTTACTACAGGCTCGCTTGGTAATCAACTAAGCCTTCTTTAGTGTCTACCTTCGGCTTCTTCGCTTCGAACTTCGGTCTCGCCAAAAATGTGCGTCAATCACTTCGGTTACGTATCCGGACGACAGACTTAAAGTTGCTTGGGCCTTGGTAAGTTCGTCGAGAGCGTACTTAATTCAGTTACTACTTGAGTCGCTGTCCTCGCTGCGTAGGTCTCGCTGGATAACCTTCTCGCTCGCCACTGCCCCTGCCGCTCGCTCTGCTTTCACTTTCCCACTCGCCGCAGTCGCTTACATTTTTGTCGGCAGTGACTCTTCACACGCACCAAATGTCCCTTTGCTAACGGTCGACTCTACCCCTAGACTCTGATATCGGATACTAGGAGAGTACTGTCGTGGAAAAGAAACACTCGGGCAGTCGCTAACTTTACACTAGGCGCTATGAAAGGTCGCCGTTGAACCTTTGCCTAAACTCGATGGAGTAACCTTATAACCTCCGAGCTATGCCCCTCGGTGTTAGTCCTTGCTGCCGAACTGAACCAGGAGGTACTACCAAATGTAGCGGTAGCGAGCTTCACAGAGTAAATTGGAAAATGATGAGATTGTCGTCTTAAACTACCAACTACGAAAATGTATAATATACTAAACTACAT